AGTCCAAATAGCACAAAATTAGGTATTCGGTATTTAGAGGACAGCCATAGGGTCTTGGTAACGTACGGAAAGACAAATAGTACTTGAAAAATACGAATTTACTCAATCTTCCCAAGAAACTTTTACGTTCCAAGACGCTCAAATAGACACATGTGTTAATATTGCATATATTGAGTACGAAGGACACTTTCTTGTATTCCGTTCGCAGGTTCGATCCTCGGGTAATACAATATCTGCAGTTGTGTACGGCTAGCTGAAGACGGCTAATGAACCAGAAATGGCTGTGTCATTCTTACTATGTTTTTCTACTTTCGCGCATCTATCGTACCAACATGGACCAGAACTACATATAATCAGCGATACTCTGGACTCCAACCCTCGAAGCCGACCAGAAGATGTCAATAAGTGCGTAGTCAACGGTGTATGAATTATGCGTTGGTGACGTTTCATGCGATAACACTTAGATAACCATAGCTATTTGAAAGTATTTCAAAGGATTAGTCGCGTTGAGCGCATAGTTGACTAATTAATCACTTATTTTGGGATTATGTGCTAATGTTGGAACAAGAACTTTTTGTTGTGTAAATGTTAACCAGACTGATAACTTTTCAACGAACTTAAATATGCTCAAGCTTATATCAGAACAGCATCCGTGACCAATAAAACAACGAAGACAATCACGTTAAGATGCACTGACGTATTAGCCACCATCTAAATCTACCACAGTGCGCAAAAACGTGGTTTTTAAGCCTTCCAATAGGCGGGATAGCTTGGTCCTCTCGGGATGAAGAATCAGGCTAGAATGATTCCTTTTGAATACGGTCTATATGAAAATCCCATTCAGTTGGGACACGCTCATTCCCCTAATTTTTTTTGTGAAAAAAGCTGGTCTGGCGCGCGTGGACCAGATCGCACGTTGAACCTGCAGCTGCACCGTCGAGCTTGGTAAGCTACTGCGTCCGATCCAGTCTCAAATCTTTTCGACCCTGTCTCAACATCGCGCCCGGATGCGAAGGTTAAATAATTGAGACGCAATCTACCATCCTTGTGCCTTGTGCGGAGCACGATTAAACAGTCATTCGTTAACCAAACGGAATGTACAGGAGAAGAGGCTTACATATAAAGTGGAGAAATGAATAAGCAAAATTTTAGCGAGTGGCGACATCAATCCTCCATTAGATTTAGAGAGATACAATGAAGTTAACATGTAATGGGATATGCATAGTAAAACGGTGCATCAACAAGTAAATCAAAAATAATAATAATCGATTTAAGTCAGGTTAACGACTTGGTGTGCTTTAGAAGAGTTGATGCTGGGATTTATAGGCCCGCACCCAATTTATTTGGAGAATGCCAGGCCCAGATTGCTTAAATGGTTCAAAGACGCCACCAAACACTTGGATACTAAAACCGAGATTGGACTTGTTCAGCGGAGGAGCATTCTCAACAGGTTTACCGTGGCTGTAAGCTTTGAAATCCGAAAACGCGAAACGCACCGTCTCGAATTCTGAGGGCGCCTGAAAAAGACAAACGTTATCTCGGTCACCTGATGCGCTGACAGATGTTAAGGAAAATTGCCCATTTTATCCAAACCAGGTTCACGAACACTTCTGAAGAGTACTTATTGTCTGGATTGAGCTGAGACTGCAAAGTTCTAATACACTGGACCAGTGACTCAATGAAAATTACCAGTGCGCATTTTTAGAGCTAAAGTTAAGTTGCGATCATAGTTATCTGCATCAAACACTCCTGCTTAAAAAGACTTCCTTAAAAAACAGACTCTCTTATTCATTTAGATCGGGCTACCAGGGTCAACAAAACGTGCATAGGGACGTTAATGTCTCGAAAGAAGCGCACGAGTCTACATTTGCTAGAGTCACACAGGTCATCTCCACAGACATTTTATGAAAATCATTAAGAAAGCATGGACAAACGAGACTGATAGCTGCCACTAACGGTGCGATACCAAGCATCAGAACAGAGTCAGAGCTAAAACATGCTAATCGTCGAAAATGTTGCACCCTCAGCATGAAATTTTGGTATAGCCTTCTGACGCGTGACGCCTGGACTCAGAATAACGTATTTTTAGGGTAAGCCACTATACTTGTTGATATCATACAAATCAGGCTCAGGTCCGGACACTAGCGGGGTTATTTAATTGACCTACTAACTCAATTCAGGAAAACCTGAACACAAAAATCAGGCATTTTAACAAACAATTTGCGTTAACGCAAATGGAAATAGTGCAGGACAAACGCATACTTAAGTACAAACTCAAAATACTAAGAACCTGACACGAACAGAGTTTGCGAGAAGCATACCTGGAACTGCTTTTCGTAGTAATGTTCTTGGTCAAGGACGAACTTAAACCACTCATTGGATCCTGTGCGGCGTAATTCAGCCTCAATTCCATCGTAATCACTCAGATCCCATCGGTTTTCCTTGTACTCCACATTTGCGAAACAACAACCGTTCGGTAGTGGATCTAATAAGTAGAAGAATATGGCACATGTAGAATGCTGGGCAGTTTCAGCACTGCTAAATATATACTTACAGTTCCCTTATGTGATGTAATTATGGCCTTGGATCCAAAGCGGGTCGGGTTCCCGTCTGTGCGACATGTATCAGAACATTCGCTCCATTTGGAAAAATCGTGTGAAGTCCTGAAATCAAAAAGAAGGCCATCCTCCTTAAATCCATTAGCAAGGCTTGGCACAATAGCCATCATGTAACGACACAGGGGTAAAGAAGAAAGAGCCTGCAATTCCAGCTATAGCCCATTCCTTTCCGTTTTTATATTACAATTCCTATTGCCGACCTCAATATTAGCCATTCCCGTTTTAGCGATTATAGATTTAAACGATATCAAATTTAGTTC